GTCCTGGCTCAGGGGTGTTTGTTAGCCATCAGGCCATGTGGAGCCTGTCCTGGCTCGGGTGTGGGGTGTGGGGGTGTGTGTGTTTGTTAGCCCTCAGGCACAGCTGCAGCTCCTCCTGTCAGGGCTCGGGGAGGCCAGAGCAGCTTCCTGCAGCTCCTTAGGTCCCCTGGACTAGAGGTGGATTGGTATGGGGTATGTTATTTGTCTAAATTTGAACAAGCATCTGAGCACATTTTGAACCACACTAAATGCAGTAGGATCTTGAGCCCTGCAGACTCTGCCTGCCTGGAAACCAGCTGGACTGTGTGCTGCTTTACAGGTTAATAGCCTGGTGGGGGGCAGAGTTAATTTTGCCCTGTGCGTTTACCCTGGTGGCTTTTAACTCATCAAATCATTAGTCTGTCCCGTGGTAGCTCCTGTGATGCTCTGTTGGTTATTGTACTGTTGGCACAGCAAACTAGAATCTCAAGCTGGTCATGAAATCCTAAAACTTTAAAGTATTTTCTCTCTTTCCTGCCTTTACTTTGTCAGCTCTCTAGATTTATCACATTGCTAGCAAAATAAAAACACCTAATGAAAAAAAGAATCTGCTTACTCATTGCCATGAGACATAGTAGACAAAAATTCTTCTCAAAGTAGTAAAATTTGTTTTGAAGAGATAACATAGGAAGTCATTTTTCTGGAGTTTAAACTGTTGTCTTTGTATGAAGCTAAAAATTATGAAGGGCATTTAATTTGCATTCATCACATAAATCCATTAAGAAGGGTGAATCATATGCATCTTCCTAAACATTTGTATTGTTTTGAATTCAAAGTACCTTCTCAAAAAGCATTGTGAAGGGAGCCAAACGTGCTGGGAAGATGACAATTGGGCGCCAGTACTTACTGAAGAAGAGAACAGGCACCATAGTGGAGGAACGAGGGACTCGCCCGGGCTGGAATGAAGATGATGATATCTCTGGTAACAGCAAACATTGTTTTCCCTGCTAATTGATTAGTCTGATTATTATGCTTGCATTCCAGTATATTGACTAACAAATGTCTTCAAGAAGGAACTGAAAAGTCTTCCTAGACAGGGAAGGAGAAGGGTCTCAAATATGTACATTCCGTGAGTGTTTCTGTCGCAGTGACCTGGCAGAACAGGGAGTTGACTCAGTTCAGTTGATTCAGCTGTAGCCCTGTGACTTTGGGGGATTCCATGTCCTTCTCCCACAGACACGAAGCACAGCGTTAATACCTGTGTACTCATACTTCTCTTGATGATGAAGATATTGAGGGAAGGAGAAGGGTCTCAAATATGTACATTCCGTGAGTGTTTCTGTCGCAGTGACCTGGCAGAACAGGGAGTTGACTCAGTTCAGTTGATTCAGCTGTAGCCCTGTGACTTTGGGGGATTCCATGTCCTTCTCCCACAGACACGAAGCACAGCGTTAATACCTGTGTACTCATACTTCTCTTGATGATGAAGATATTGAATTGCACTCTTCTCCCACAGACACGAAGCACAGCGTGAATACCTGTGTACTCGTACTTCTCTTGATGATGAAGATATTTAAGTTTTTTGCACTTGATGGACAAAACAGCTGCATTTTTCCATGGTCACAGGTGTTATATACACATTAGTGAGAGGCACTTTTTCCTCCCCTCACAAAAATACACAAGTGTGCACTGTGAGGCTTCAGGCCTGCTGTTCTGCAGATGTTTTGGCTGGGAACGTTGGCCCAAGGCTGACAGCTTGCTTTTCTCTCCATGCAGCCCTGGCACAGCAGTGACTCTTGGCTTCAGGCAGAGTGCAGATAGCCATAGGAAATGTGCTGTGTCATCACTGCCATTTCTTTTGTATTGGCTGCTGTGGTTTTGACTTTGTTTTTGACTTTGCAGATCTCAAAAACTGAAGTGTAAGAAACTGTGCAGCTGTACCAACAAGGAATCAAATAGGAACTGTCTGCAGCAGGTGATGTCTTACCAAAGAAATGTTAAAGATAGGGTCGGAAGGAACTTCAGGAGATCAACTAGTCCCTCTCTCCACCCCAAGCAAGATCAACATACTTAATCTGTTCCTTCTAGATATATGTTCTGGGTATAAATTTTGCCTTATTAGTGAGAAAAACCCAGGTGGTTTGTATGTAACTTCCTACATTGCTATCAAGTCAGATGGACAGATTAATTTACCTCACTTTTTCTTAGAAGCCTTCAAACATGAAGGTTCCACAACTCTAGGCAGGTCGTACCAATGCTTTAACCATCCTTAATGCTGGAGAGAACAAGGACCTTGCTGAGGTTCAGGACTAGACATCATCTTGCTGCAATTTAAAGCCTTCATTTCTTACTCTGCCACAGTATACATCTGTAAGAGATGATTCTCTTCATTCTGATTGTAGTGCTAAAGGTATTTATAGTCTATTTTAATATTTCTCTTCTCTGGATATTAAATACCTTTGAGTTCTTTGTTTATTAGTCTTGATAGACTTCTGATCATCTTCACTGCCTTCTTTAGCTGGTCCCCATGTGACTTGCAGTGTGATTTCCAGAACTGGGCACAGTACTGTTGGCATTAGTTGTTGTCTGGGAACACCTCATTTCCCTCCAATTCCTTGTCATCTTTTTGTTTTCAGAGTTGAGAATCTCATCACTACTAAGTTCTGTTTCCTACGGGTGGTCACGTTGGTGTGTTCAGTAAAACAGGAGACTGCAAAACTGCTTTTGCAAATAGTCTTCTCTCAGAACAGCAAAACACAGGGATATTCCTCGTCTTCTCAAAATCAAATAAGTTTTTCTAAACCTGAGACAGCAAAATATCATCATCTCCCTCTTCAGTTTAAGGGCATTGATGTGAGCTCTTATCTCTTGGTTTTCATGCACAGGAAAATGCTTTCCAAGTTCTGATCACCAATATCCCTGTTTTCATGAGAGAAAAATGCATCCTCATTTTACCTGAGGCAGTTGTAGCTTGCCTTTCAGAACTGTTAAGTGCCAAGTTTCTGTGCAACTAAAAATGAAATTGTTTCTAAAACTCACTTAATTTGCTGTCATTAGTGCACTTTTTCCTTGAAATGTGGTGTCACTTCTTTCTTACCATGGCAAATATGAGAACATGGGAAAAAGAGGAGATATCCACAGTGTTCAACTCTGTTATTTAGATCCAGTAGAGAATTTTGGGTTTTGTTTGAGATGAAAGGGCAGAAAAAATGATTTGTTAGCTTTTGTGCTAAGATGGACACACACAAATTTATATGGGCACTACTCCTGGAAATTCTGAATGTTGTCTACTGCCAGTAAAGTTTTAATTATGTCGTGCTGTTATTGTTCAAAGTAATTTCAATTTCATTTTTACAAAGTCCTGTTTTAAGTTTAGATCCTTGTGTCCTTTTCAGTGCCATTCATGCAGACATAAGTCAGTGCTTGAGGTGTTAGCACGTAACTGCTCTGTGCTGTGAGCAGCACTTCTGGACACAGCTGGGAGTCACTCACAGGCAGGTGGCAGGTTGTGTACAAAGACCTTGCTTGACTTGAATTTCAGAGCAGTTTGAACTTGTGACATAGCTTTTTATCTCTCATGGGTAGAGGTTTTTCTGCCTTGGAAAGTGCAGTGACATGCCTGGCTGAAGGAGCTGCTGTTTGTCCTTGAGACACGAGGAAACCAGCAATCTGTTGTGAAATCAGAACACCAGAACATTCTTGGGGCTGAACCAAGCCTTAAAAAGTTTGCTACATCTTTTGATGAGCGTTTTAAAAAAATCGTTGTGCAGTCCAATTTTATCTGGACTGTGTCATGAATCTGTAAAGAATTTGTCCATGTGTAAGGGAAGATGCTCTGTGCTCAGCTGAGTCCGGAGGAACACGAGGTGTAATTTTCGCAGGACTTTGGACGAGAGGTGTCAGTCATGCCACTCACAAGTGCAGTGAGTACCTGTGTGGTGCACTCAGCTTTCCTGACTCAAACACTGCTCTGTTCTTTCTAAGTTCTGTAAACTCTGGTTTGTGTGTGTTAGTTCCTGCCACTCCTCACAGAGTTAGGACAAACTCGTACTTTATTTGGAAGAAAGTCGCGTTGTTTTCTGTGTAGTTCTGCCCTGCAGCAGCTCCTGCTCAAAGGTTCTCCCCTCCAGTTTCAGATGACAGTGAGCTGCACACGAGTGGGACCCTGAAAGCATCAGAAAAATCGACCATGGAGCAGTTAGTGGAAAGAGCCTGTTTCAGAGACTACCAGCGGCTGGGCCTGGGCACCATCAGTGCCAACTCTTCCCGCTCAAAGGCAGAGTACTTAAGGATAACTGCCCTGAACAGGATGTATTCGCTCTGCAGGAGGTGAGTTCATCTCAGTTAGGTAGCTGCAAGTGCAGACACACGTGTATATCTCTATAAATAGATTTGCATTTAAAATCTGCTGTCTCCGAGTAAAAAAGCGAGCTCCAGAAACATTGAGAAACAACTGCTTTCTTCAAATTGAAGTATGTCTTAACATTGAGTTCAAGAAAGTATCTGCTTCAAAAGTTTTTCGTGTGTTGACAGCCACGTGGTGTGTTTCCACAGGTGAGTGTTCCTAGCTCCTTTTTCTGCTGTGGCAGCTGATGCAGTTTGCTGCCACTACCCACAGAAAATCTTTTAGTACTAAAGCAGATCTGTCTGAGTCCTGTCTGAAGAGCAGTTGTGTCCTCTGTAGCCAGTTTTGGCTAGTCATTGCTTTCATTGTGGACACTGGAGCCACCAGTCCTTGATGGAAGAAGGGCACAGAAGGAAAAAGTGCTAGATCCTTCCTTGTTTTCTGACTTCTCTAGGGTGTGATGTTTTGTGTGCTCACTGCTGAGTCCAGTGCAGGTCAAGGCATTGAGGCTGTTCAGTTCCATTAGGCTTTGGACATGAACAGCTCTTTCCTCCTCTAAAGCCACTAGTTTTTATATTCTCAAGGGTTGTTTTGGAAAAGGGAATTAATATCTGAGTGGGCTACAGATCTCACCATACAAGTACTTACCTACTGCTGTATTAGCTGGTTACTGTGTTTTGAGGAGTTGGACTGTAAATATCGTGTACATTGATTTTGTCTGAGGGAGTTCAGCAAATGCCAAAGAATGAATTTACAGGAGCAGTGTACATTGTAGAGGAACAAAGTTGTTTAGTAAGCAGTAACTGTTTGCTGGTCCTTGTGTTAGTTCCTTCTTAACATATAAAATTGACACTTATATTGATTTTATTTTTTTTGAGGAGAAGATAGGAAATAATATTTCACATTGCTCGAAGCATTCTTTCACTAGCATCAGCACAAACAACTAACACCTTTTTGGGTTTTGTGTCTTTGAAGGTATCGGATCAGTGAATTCCCTAATGTCCCAATGTACTGTAGTGTTTCAAAAAGTCAGAGAAATGCAGTTTCCAGCACACTGTTCCAAGGAATCTGACTATAAAATTTAAATGTGTTTTGCCATAAACAAAAAACTATTGTGTTCATTGTGATACTTAAGGCAATCTAACATTCTTTCCTTTCAATTCTCATATTTCAGAAAGAAGTGTCAAAACACAATTGCTGCACATTCGCATGCCTCAAAATTCTGTTTTCTGTCGCGCTTAAAATACGACTTTGTTATGCTGACAGATAAGAGATACACGAAGAATAAAAATACTGCCAAATAAAACGTGGCCTTAAATGGAAAAAGACTAGTAGTGAGTCTCACAGGTTTTGTGTGAAGTTTCAATTCAAGTGCTGTTTAAAATGGAGTTTTCTTTACAATTGATGTATGTGCTGTGATTGGACTACAAATAAGACTACAAATAAGAGTTGACTCTAACAGCTCAGGTGTGTTTCCATGGAGATGAACTTGCAGCTTGTAGTGTTAGCAGTTGTAATGGTTGGTGCCTTTGTCTCCTCTGCCCACACAGCTACCCTGGGCTGCTGGTGGTGCCGCAGGCGGTGCAGGACAGCAGCCTGCAGAGAGTGGCACGCTGCTACCGCCACAACCGCCTGCCCGTCGTCTGCTGGAAGAGCACCAGGAGCAGCACCCTCCTGCTCAGGGCTGGAGGCTTCCATGGGAAGAGTGTTGTAGGCCTCTTCAAATCCCCCAACACGCATCCTGCCGGTGAGTGGCTGCCGTTTGCTGACGGCGCAAGCTTAGAGATGTTGCTTTTCATTTGGAGAGAAGGAAAAGCCACGTTATCCTCACTCTGTTTGCACTGCCTGCTGGCTGATGATGGCTGTTTAGTGGCCACGAGGTAACAGACTCGTCCAGCAGTTCAGCTTCGTGTGGAGTGCAGGAGAGCATTGCTGGACCCTGCTCTGCAGCTGAGCAGTCTTTGTCCAAAGAAAGGGGTTTGGACCTTCGATAGACAAGCGATGGCATTTTCAATGCTCTGCTTTACACACAAAGTTGTATTTTGCTATTCTAGGTGTTCATAAATTGTATTTCTGTATTTTAATGTATTCGATTCTTCTTGTGACTCCAGCTCCCACGTCTTTAGAATCTTCAAGCAGTATAGAACAGGAGAAATACCTGCAAGCCTTACTGAACGTGATATCCGTCCACTGCAAAATGAATGGCAGCAACACTCTCACAGTTAGCCCAACAATTGCTCTGTCCCCAGGTAAAGTTGTCCTGCGTAGTGCTGTTCTGTGCCTGAGTGGCAGGGTGGGTTTTCTCTGCTTTGCTGTTGGTTCAATGGCCCATATGGATTCTGTTGTTCCTTTATTGTTAGAATTTCCAGATAGCCTGTGCACTCTCAGTTTCAGTGAAAGTGTTTTCTGTATGTAAAGGATGATTGTAATGTTTCCCAAAATCTTTTTTGGTATTAATCTGTCAGCAAACAATTATCCACCCGTGGGTTGTAGTTTTGGATGGAATTCACTTGGGTGTGACGGTCAGTCTTGAGGCATTAAGAATTTATTGCAGTCCTGGAACAAATGAAGTTCTCCGTAATGTCAAGATGCCCAAACTTTCCTGGTAGCTGTTTTGGTTTTGTGTTTCTTTTTTTAGTATATCAAATATGACAATTGCATTATATAACAGAATCAAAAGTAAAAATGCACATTGAAGTATTTTATGACAAATTAAGCATATTGCAAACTGCATATGGAGTAACTGCCAGATTGAAGAAATGCAGAATGACTGCTCTGTTTCAGGAGGTGTGAGATTGCCAGCTCAGATCTCACACAGACACACTATTTAGCTGCAGCAGCAATGGAAGGTGCATTGGCATTTTCATGTGTGTGACATACTCAGGTTGGGCTTCTGATGTGGTTTCCAAGTAGAGCTGTTTTTGCAGTGAAAACTCCTTCAAAATACACTGTTTGAGTTAGGCATGTGTGGAACCATGAAGAAATGAATGCGTGTTTTATTTCAGTCATTTTGTGACAAATCCTGGTAAGGTTTGTGTGAAGGTGTCAGGAAGGACTGTGAGGAAATGGTGTCTGTCTCGTCTCTCTGGGCTGTAATTGGCCCAGTCCTGCCCAGCAGAGCTGTCCCTGTGGAGTCACCCCGTGCCCCAGGCCTGCACCTCTGCCGCTGTGTCTGATACCTCCATACTGTTGCCAGTGTACAAATTTGTCCCAACAAGTGTGTCTGAAGTACCCAATTGGCAAGAATTAGCTGTGCTGGGTACAAAGGGCATTTTATCAGTTGTGTTAAGTGTTAGTCTGGTTAACACTTTTTCTTTTTTTGGCTGACTTTAGGCACTGAGACGAGGGCTTCACGGATGTCTACTGTGTTTAAGCAGGTAGTGCCAGGACATTTGGATGTAAATCTATCCAATAGCTTTTCTCGAGGAGGTTAGTAAGACTAGTTCAAAGTCTATTATTTGAAATAATAAATGGTGAAAAAATGTTAGTGAAATAAAGCTAATTATATTCCTTACTGATTCATCGCTGTGTGAAACAACAGAACAGAAATTACAGATTAGCCTCAGTCCATAATGTTATCTGAGTATCTAATTTCTGTTCAAGTCCTTTATTTACCATTGAAATAAAGTTTGTTTCTGGTTGGAATTAGTGCAAAAGTAATCACTCAGTTAGGAATTATGGATTCATCCATATTATTAATTTTTCTAAAATGTATGGCCTGAAAATTTGTATTTGATATTGGCATTTAAGACACTTCAGAATCTACAATTACAGATCATTCCAGTATGTGGGTGAAGCTTAGCTGATGCTTCAGAAAGTTGCCAGTAATTTTGCCCTAGGGAGTGACGTGCCAGGCGTAATACGTACGGAGACACCTGTGTTCTGTTAGTTGTTCTAGGTGCAGGGGCTCAGCAGAGGTTCTGCTGAAACCTTTCATTCTCTTAGGTGGATTCCAACTACTTTTACACTTCTATCTGATGAAATTTTGCGATTTTTTTATGTGCAATGTAGTGCACCAAAGTCCTTAAATACGTGTTTAATATAGGGATTACTCTGTTTCTTAAAAGAAATTACATTTGTTACCTTTTAGCCCTGAAGGTTCCTCTTACAGTTATTTCTAAGCATCTAAAAGTTACTTTTCTTCCATTTTATACCTCATCTAAAATTAGTTTAGACCTACATGGACCTGCTGAGGTCCATTCCAACCTAAATCTGATTGTGTGATACAAAACCTGTAGCTTCCTTTGGGGAAGGGTAAAACGATTCTGTAGAGAAAAACCACCCAAAGAGGTGGTTGGGGTTGGGGAAATGAAAGAAGGAAGATGATGAGAGGGAGGGAGAAAGGAAAAAGGAAAATGCTCAGAGCTGTATAGAGAAGTGATGTGAGAATTGTAGCAGAAGACAGTATTAGGTCACAGACAGCCAGGCCTGGGGGTTAGGCCTCAGAGCCAGGCCTGGGGGTTAGGCCTGGGGGTTAGGCCTCAGAGCCAGGCCTGGGGGTTAGGCCTGGGGGTTAGGCCTCAGAGCCAGGCCTGGGGGTTAGGCCTGGGGGTTAGGCCTCAGAGCCAGGCCTGGGGGTTAGGCCTCGGGGTTAGGCCTGGGGGTGAGGCCTCGGGGTTAGGCCTCGGAGCCAGGCCTGGGGGTTAGGCCTGGGGGTTAGGCCTCAGAGCCAGGCCTGGGGGTTAGGCCTCGGGGTTAGGCCTGGGGGTTAGGCCTCGGGGTTAGGCCTCGGAGCCAGGCCTGGGGGTTAGGCCTGGGAGCCAGGCCTGGGGGTTAGGCCTGGGAGCCAGGCCTTAGAGCTAGGCCTCAGAGGCTCTTGGCTAAATTTCGGCAGTAATCAGGAAGAGGGCAGGGAGGTTATCTTGTGTCTTGCTGGGTCGATGCTGCGGCT